ATTTGCAGAGTATTGTGGAATGGGTGAGTTCACCCGATTGTATCTACTGGTTGTGAGAAATCGCAAAAATTTACTGTGACGCAAACATTGGGCGGTTTACCGTGTTGTCGGTCGCCGAAGAACTAGGAGGTCGACCTCATGGCCTAGAGCGTTTCTATTTTCATGTACTACAGTCTATGCACTGTTGAGTAGCCATGATACCTTGGTATGCTGTGCTTGGTGAAATCCTACAGTCTATGCACTGTTGAGTAACCATGATACCTTGGTATGCTGAGCTTGGTGAAATCCTACAGTCTATGCACTGTTGAGTAGCCATGATACCTTGGTATGCTGAGCTTGGTGAAATCCTACAGTCTATGCACTGTTGAGTAACCATGATACCTTGGTATGCTGAGCTTGGTGAAATCCTACAGTCTATGCACTGTTGAGTAGCCATGATACCTTGGTATGCTGAGCTTGGTGAAATCCTACAGTCTATGCACTGTTGAGTAGCCATGATACTTGGTATGCTGAGCTTGGTGAAATCCTACAGTCTATGCACTGTTGAGTAGCCATGATACCTTGGTATGCTGATCTTGGTGAAATCCTACAGTCTATGCACTGTTGAGTAGCCATGTCACGATACAGTCTATGCACTGTTGAGTAGCCATGTCACGATGCAGTCTATGCACTGTTGAGTAGCCATGTCACGATGCAGTCTATGCACTGTTGAGTAGCCATGTCATGATACAGTCTATGCACTGTTGAGTAGCCATGTCATGATACAGTCTATGCACTGTTGAGTAGCCATGCATAGATTGGTATGCTGAGCCTGGTAAAATCCCACCCTGTCCCTTCTTCGGTGCCCGTCAGTACTGTGCCGCTTACTCACTGCACATTGCAGTCTGCATCTGCTCAACACACCATTGGCTCCTCGGGTCTACTTTTCTTACTGAACTTTAAACACATCCACATCGGGTTTAAAAAAAAGTTTTTCTGCCCTTCTTTGTTGAGCCTCCACCTGGCACAAGACAGCCTGAGTATCGTCCGCACATTCAGGACATGTACATCGCCGATATTCTGGCTCTGCCTTGTATCTACACTACAGCCCCGGTGACTCGACTCTTTACTAGTGTTCATGGACACCCAATGTCAGCCATCACAGACCTGTGTGGTGGTCGGTAGTGATTGTCTATGGTCTACCTGAGACCTAAGTAGATATCAGAATGGTTGAATAGAATAGTCGATCTCACTAGGGACTCGGTGGCCATGGCAACATCGTTTTCTGTACACACACCTCTACCCCCTTTTTCCAGATAATTATAACCTGCGGATCACCGTGGCGATAAGCAGCGCTCTGGTCGGATCTCTGCTCTTGGTTGCCGTGGTGGCGTGCTGGAGGCGCCTGCACCTGGAGCAGATGGAGCAGCGACGACAGCTGATGCAACCGGAAGCCACTCAGCCCGAGTATCACGGCCTGCCTGGAACTCGGCAAACGTCATCGTTCCCGGCACCTCCGCCGACATACCACGATGCGTTTCAAATAGACAGTCAGCAGATTCAAGCCGCTAGCCCTCCACCGCTGTCCACGTCGATCAGGGGCGCGAACGGAACGAGCGGCGCACGAGATGAAACGACAGAGGACGGGCGGCCTCGACCACCGCCCTCGTTTGCGACGGCCACCTTGACTCCACCTCGACCAGTGCCGCCACCACCACCGCCCCCGCCACCGCCAACATCGCCCAGTTCCGTCACAGGCACAGGTAGGGCCGGCGGTGGCGGTAGAAACGGCAGCGTGGGTGCTCCCCCCGGTCCGAGCGCTGCCGCCCGGGAGAAGTCCCACGTCGCTTACATTGTCTCGCACCTGAAGAGCGCGGTCACGGCGGACGAGCTCATAGAAGATGAAGAGACCTGTTTGGATACTGAAGCGCTGCTTGGCAGGTCCGGCGTCTAGTAATCCGTGTGATAAGTGTGCCAGCAAAGTACTAGTATGCGGGCCAAGCAAGCCATGTAACTTACCATTGAGTCTATCCTGGAGATGATCCATTTTGTAAGCTTTCCAGACTGGAAATAAATGACTGCCTATGTCAGTACACTATGATCGTGTTTGAAACATGTTTGAAGACTGATCCTTTCGGAGGAGTGTATACGCTCTTCGCCACAACAGACGTGATTATTGCTGTCTTGTACGGCTTGCAATGGTGTGCTAGTACATCTTGTACTTTGAATTGCTCTCAGCCTGTCACTTGAAGCAGTGATTTCGTCTGCCCTGGTGGTGGCAATTTTGTACATACCCCCCCCCCTCCAGTTTCCTTGATTTCACTCTAAAATATTTTTTCGATTGAGTAAATTTTCTTATTTATGCAAAAACCATGTGTGTGTGTGCGCGTGCTCAGATTTTGTATCCTAATCAGAAATACGGTTTGTTTTTATTTGCGGCTGGTTCGGCCATGCGCGTGAGGACAGAGTGTGTGTCGAGATGTGTTCCCTTCAATGACGAATGAGATGTGTTCCCTTCCAATGACAAGTGGCCAGATCGTGACCTCAGATCAAATTATTCATCTTTGCCGGGTTGGGAGGTGGGAGAAAAAAAATTCATCTTTACCCCGGTGTTGATTAGTCATGTTCACTCCCTCAAACCGATGGATAGTAATTTCGAATTTTGGAATATTTTTTCGACTGAAGCCGAAAATACCTTTCCACTGGACTGCTTCTTTCTGTCGAACTTTTATTTCTGAAAAGTACAAGTAACAGTTCGATTGCTTCTCCGACTCTCGGACCCAGTACCTGTAGTCGAAAAAATATTCCGAAATTCCAAAAATGCAGAACTTCTCTATTGTTTATAGCTAAGACTGAGGATGAGCGCTCCGACCAAATGGAGTAAGTAGGACAAACTCAAAAAAAGTGTTCTGCTTTCCAAACAGTCCTAAAATACTATATTTACGACTTGCTGATCGAAGTGAATGAAACGTCGGGTAAGCCCCAAGTGCCAAGATGTCGGCCACATATTGTAACATAGTCATTGGAAACGTATCATATCGGCCTGGCTTTCGTCATGTCGAACAGCCGGAATCTACTGTACTGTAGTACTAGTAGTAGGAGTCAGTCTGTGTAGCCAACTCGACTCTCTTGCCACGAAGTGTACCGTGTTGTACCTGTGATCATGGATTCATCCACTTATTTTAGTTAGGAATAGTGCATGCACACAAAACCCAGCTGATACTGGTGCAAGTGAAGTAATTAGTTGCATAGCTGGCATATAATACTACGGATCACACTAGAGCGTGCGACATAAAACAGGATGGAGACGGGCTTTGCATGCATACAAACAGTAACTAATGGGACGTCAACATCACATCATTCTGGCATGTTTGTAGATCTACTCCATGTACATGTACTGGTACTACTACTAGCTAGAGACGTGTCATTTATAATAAATTTTTCGATCCACGAACAACGTGTAGTGCCATCAAGAGTCCATGATGGTTAGATAGATGGATAGATGGGGAGAGAGTAAGTACAAGTATTAGTTACACAACTAACTCTAATAAAAGACTGAGACTGATAATTATGTCTACAACAGAGTTATACGCCTGAAAGCAGATGAATGATTTTAACAAGCAGGTTGTCTGTCTAGATTTTATGCGTAGATAATGAAAAAATGCACAGAAAATTTGTAATGAGATGAAAGCAGAAATAATAGGAAATAATAAGAACTTGAAGAAAAGGGACATACCGGTATGGATACTTGCTAAGAGTAACTGTCCACCACTGTGACTACAATGTAGATACTATATACAGTCAGAAAGTGCAACAACTAGGCACAAAACTGACAGAGTACTGAGACATTCGACGCCCTGCGGATACACTCACACCTCGTTTATCCGGGCAGTCCGGGACCTTGCACTGCCCGTAACTTTGAAATGTCCGTAACTCCGAATCATATACATGTACATCTTGATGGGGAAAAGGCCATCGATATGGCATATGACGTCAATATTTCTACGAAAAGTGACAAAAGAGTAGTAATATTTCCCCTGAAATTCGCCCAAATAGTGCCCGGTAGACCGAAGTGCCCGTAACTTCGGGGTCCGGATAACCGAGGTATGAGTGTACCTAGCTCCAAGCCTCCAACACATCTCCGAAGCGCTAACCAACAGTCTTCCAACTCGGTGGACGGTTACTCTTTTAAACTTGTGTCCACTGTCCATACGTGTATGTGCCTTTCCTTTTTACATTTAAAAATGTATTATTGGCTCACTATCCGAGTAGCAAATAAGAAAAGACAACAATTTTAAACCGCAATCAATAAGACGAGCTGAGTCGACATGTATATACCGTATTTATTTGTGCAGTGCCGAACGATGGAAACAATGTGCAGCAAAACAAAGGAAGAATGAAGAAACAGTGAAGAAGACAGTACTTATGATTCTAACAAGTTTTCGTACAACGCTCTTCCTTCTTCCATCGTTTTACTGCACATTGTTTCCATCGTTTGACACTGTGCGAATAAATACGGACCATAGGATACACATGTCAATTCAGCTCGTCTTATTGATTGCGGTATTAAAAAATAGCCTGCTCACAACCCCGCCCAGCCTTGCGAACTGGGAAGAGAGAGAGGCAGAGAGACAGACAGACAGACAGACAGACCGACAGACCGACCGACATACAGACAGAAAAACAGACAGACAGACAGACAGAGACTGAGAGAGATGGAGATAGAGAGAGAGACATAGAGACAGAGAGATAGAGAGACAGACAGACTGACAGACCGACAGAGACAGACTGGAAAGCAAAAAGACAGACAGACAAGCAGTGTGGGAGACATAGAGATCATGCTTGGGTGTGGGGAGTACACTCCATGCGAAATTGACGGTATGCAGATATCATCCGCAGCACCGGTGGCAGGGCGTTCCAGCGCTAGAAACATGGAGGATGACATAGGGCACTCAGTTCCTGTCGTGAGTGATAGATGGTTAGCTGTTGCCTCCCTACTCTGGACATCCGTCCAACTATTTGTTGCTGCACTCTACTACTTGTACATATACCTCTTCAAGCCCCACTACCTGACTGGCCCTGCCATGATCATAGCCCTCCTCCTCCCCGCCCCAGCTCCAGCCCCAGCCCAACACTGGGGCCAGCGTCCGCACGCAACTCGCGAGCCATCACCCTTTCCAGCTGGCAAACTGAAAGACAGCTCCACATTCGGCCTTTCCCCCACTCATGATTGAAACCTGGATTGATTACCACCCAGCCTCTATCCTCAGTGCTGCTCACTACTCCCAGAAGTCAATCACCTTCATTCTTCAAGAAGAAGGTCGACGACCATCCCCTTCGGCAGTCTGCCTGGCATTGGGCAACCGACGACCCGTCCGGGATCATGCCTGCACTTCTACCCCAAACCAAATTCTTCACCCGCCAATTCTGAGTACGACTTCACCATACATGTAGCTCAGTGGTTAGAGCATAGCCTGGCTTCAAGCAAGGGTCCCTGGTTCGAGTCCTCGTGCCTGGTGGTGACAGTCAATTTTTTCTTCAGACTCTTCTCGTTTGCGTCTTTCCCTCAAACCAAACTGAGTACAAGTAGCTACATTCCACTTCTAACCGCCTTATTATCATGGTGCCCTTCATTTGACACTTTTCGTCACTCCCATCATCTTTATTAGTTTCTGCTACATGTACAATACATAATTGTTAGATTGACAGCATGAAACAAGGTGGAGGACACTGTGTTCGGAAACAGTGACCTTACTACAACCTTCCGCGGTTGGCAGAGCCCCGGTCCCTGCGGACCATTTGAACCATATGGGTATCGCACCCGGTTCTGACCCTCATTATGCTAGGGGGTTAGGAGACTACTCCTGATGTCGTCTAGTTTTCTTCGCTCTTTTCTTTAACTTGTATAAAGACTTCTTTTTCTTTTTTCTTCCAACTTACTTCTGCCCATGGCGTCCTTCTCTCAGCTCGTCAACTGTCAACAGTTTCTTTTGTCATCACCATGACACTGTCGCGAGAAGTTGCTCTCTGTAGACGGGGTTGGTGATGTCCCGACGTGGCCATGGGTAGGCCTTCACCACGTCGGAACACCCCGGCTACACGTTGGTTACCTCCACTCGTTAGCCTGCCTGCTGTTGATGCTGCCACGCAAACTAGTACTGGTCAAGAAAACTTGAATTTCATCTACAAACCTGAGCAACTGCTTCAATTTTGCTACACGTTGGTTACCTTCATCAAAAGACAATACCGCTTGGAAATAGCTCATATGTTGTTGATGGCGTCACGTAAACTTGAACTGTCGAAAAAAACTTGAATTTCATCTACAAACCTAAACAACTACAAGTGCCTCAATTTGATCATGCAGTTTTGTTAGTTACGTCCATATGTTCCGACGTGGTGAAGGCCTACCCATGGCCACGTCGGGACATCACCAACCCCGTCTACAGAGAGCACCTTCTCGCAACAGTGTCATGGTGATGACAAAACAACTGTTGACAGTTGACGAGCTGAGAGAAGGACGCCATGGGCAGAAGTTGGAAGAAAAAAGAAAAAGAAGTCTTTATACAAGTGAAAGAAAAGAGCGAAGAAAACAAGACGACATCAGGAGTAGTCTCCTAACCCCCTAGTATAATGAGGGTCAGAACCGGGTGCGATACCCATAATAGGGCCATATGGTTCAAATGGTCCGCAGGGACTGGGGCTCTGCCAACCGCGGAAGGTTGTAGTAAGGTCACTGTTTCCGAACACAGTGTCCTCCACCTTGTTTCATGCTGTCAATCTAACAATTGCGTGAACTATAACACAGTTTATCTAATACTGGTTTTTAACCAGTATTAGGTTATATCATGTACATGTACAATACATGTGTGTGTCATATTAGGCCGTCCTCTCTATTCTAATCTTTCATTTCGCCCCGTTCTGATGGTGCCCCTGCCATTCGAAGCTGTCGAGACCTCTGGTCGGTTGAGCATGGTATGCCCACCACGGCACCAGCACCAATCTCCCCCCCCCCCCCGTCTCACCCCATGCCATGGGCCATGTGCCTTCCGGTGAGTTAAGTTGTGTGCCGGTATTTTTCAAAAAAAAAGTGCTGTATGTACATGTACATGTAGATCTACAGTAGGCATTTTTAGGGGCCACTCCCGGCTGAGTTTTGGGAATGTCATAGCCCGAGAGTGAGGGCTTGTAACTTTTAACTACTGCTGATAGCTACTGTGCGTAGAACGTGGACACACTGTGTCTTCCGGACCGTAGTTGGAACAGTTATTATACAATATAATATACGGTGTGTGCCGGCGAGGTCACCTACCCAGTGAGACTGTAAAATGATAGGTTTTGCTGCTGTCAATAGATGAAGCGCACGACTGTGCATTTGCAGTAGACAGTGCAATGTACCTGTAGTTATGAATTCGCTTTATAGTAGTAGTACGCTAGGTGTGGATGTGCGTGATTGCACCTGCTTGACCATTGACTGGCTATGCTTTTAATCAAGTACATGTTGCGGTCCAGACGCCGGGTCTA